GTTCAGAAGTAATCATGCCCGATCTGACGGAAGCCTGGAAATGAGTGCGCGAGGTGGTTATAAAAGGCTCCTACCCCCCAGGAACGAGGTATGCTAACTTTGCGCTATCTGGTTTATCTAGCCTTTGAAGTATTCTAACTTGAGCTTCGGAGCCTTTACGCCGGGTTCTCCCCGGAGCTTCTCTTCTCCTTCCGTTTCAGGTCCCTGTTACTCAGCTCAGAGGCAAGATCATTGACAGCTAAGACCGGCCAGATTGTGTATCATTAGATCCCTAATTGAATTCTCCACAATATATAAATCTATTTGGCCCAGTTGAGGAATTTACTCTCCATTTCCATTTCTCAACCCAAAAATTGATAAATTTGATAACATAACATGATAAACGATCAAAATGACTCATTTTTGTGGATGATACCAAGTGCAATGTTCAAAATAAGCCCTATGAAGTTCCAGTTTGAGGCTCCTCAAACCTATAACAGTGACGGCGTTCAATGTTCTTAATTCAAATAGAGATGAACAAGTTGCTTCTTGTGCTAATATACGCCCTTCAATTCAATTGAAATTAATGTTTTTGAACCATCGTTGACCTGGACGGTTGGACTGTTCCCCCCAGGAACCGTCCAGTCAACCAATTCCTTTTTAGCTCAAACCCGGTTTTGGTCAAAAATAGTTGAAAAAGTCAACAATCTGTTGATACGGGCAGTTGAACCGTCGATCCGTTCAATAATTTATTACTAATTTTTAATTTGTTTGTCAAAACGAGGCATCTGTTCAAACCAAATAGTTGGACTGCTGACTCAGAAACTGATGATTAAAACGATTCTATTTCCGGATCATTTTTTAAAACGTTGATTGAAAGTCTTTTAGGAAAATCAATTATAAATTCTTATTTAACCAAGCAATTTTTCCTTAATTGGCAAATGACTATTTTATTCCATTAATCTACAGTAATAGGAAAGAAAAAGGGCACAAAATCACCAAATAAATGAAGTTGGAAGCTATCGAATGTTCAATATTTGATGTGAATCTATATAACTTGATTTGAAATTTGCATTTTTGGAAATTTGTCACGCTAAGGGAAAAGAAATGTTTTGTGGGTAATTCCGAGCTGGCATTTAACATTAATTTGAACTTACAAATTCTGATCTGGGCTGATCGATCATTCTCCCATTCTTTTTATGAGCTTGAACCTCTCATTAACTAACCCAATGCAATTTGAAATTCTGAATTTGACAATTCGACTTAACCCTAATTCATGATGATAAGAGCTTAAAACGAAATTCAAAATAAAATATTAAATTACAGCCCTTTAATTTTATATGGATTATTTTACAATTTCCAAAAAAAAATATTCAAATCTTTCTCTTTATTAACCATTTTTCTTATTTATTGAATATTACAGAAATATGAAAAACGGAGTGAAGCGAAAGAGTTGAATACTTAAATCTATAGATACCTATGTATATATAGTTTGTACAGTATTATTTGGTAGACGGTAAGTGGTGAATCCTTCGAAATAAAATCCAACCCAACTTGAATCCTTCCAAAGAATTTCATCAAACCATGAACCTATGTTACCATTCAAATTAATTTCCTTGCAGGCAAAACAATTCTTAAAGCTGGCATGGAACCATGGACATGACACCAAGAAAAGTTACAACATGAAACAGCATGGTTTTTAAAATCGAACCAATCAGGGGTCTCGTTATTGGTTTGAATGGTTCGATCGTTTGATCCAAATGGTCAGTTTATTCAGAAAAAAAAAWTTTAAAAATTGAGAAACGATTAAAACCGTTCGAATGGTTCAAATGATTAATAGGCCGGTTCAGCAGTTTGCTGACTAAAATCAACGATTTTAGAGGAAAAACGGAATCAGTCAGATCAGATGACCGGTTCCCAGTTTTTCCAGTCTGACTGTCCGGTCCAGCCCGATTTTGAAAACCAAGTGAAACAGAAAAGAACTTTATCTTAACTATTCACTAAAAAAAAAAATTAAAAAGAAGAGAACAGCATTCATATATATCTGCATGTTCCAGCAAATTCCTTATTACAAGAAATTATTCTTGTTGAAATCAAAATTCTCAGGCAGTGATGCAAGGTGTCTTCTTTCACTGGATGCAGACTGGTTTACTTGCACTTGTTCGGGAGTGGTGGGCCGCACAAACAGCGATTATGGGCAAAGGATTTGGCACCCATCTTCTGCACTTTCCCACCGATCGGAATCTTTCCGCACAGCTGATTATAACTCAAATCCATTCTTTCCAAATCCGACTTATTAATTAACTGCTTCGGAATGTTGCCGTGAATCTGGTTCTGGGACAAATCTAAAACTTTTAACTTCTTTGGAAACTTCACCTTCGTCAGATCAAAGTCGAGTTGGTTGGGAGATAAGTAGACCCATTCCGCTGCTCCATTCTCCCTCAGCAACATTGATGCGTCTCCAGTGAGTTTGTTATGCGACAGGTCGATGCTTGAGACGTTAATCGATGTTGGGATTCCACCGGAGAGCTGGTTGTGAGATAAATCGAGAGTGAAACCGCCGTATTCGCCGTCTTTGAAACTCCCAAATGAATCGGGTATGGTTCCGGTGAGTTTGTTCGAATATAGCATTAGTATTTACAGCTTGTTAAGGCTTGCCAGAGAAGCCGGGATTGGACCAGAAAGCTGGTTGTAGGTCAATAGAGACTCTAGAGATTTTTGAGTTGGCTTAGAAATTCAGGGATAGGACCCGAGAGGCTGGTGTTCGATATACGGAGTATTTCGAGGTTCTGAAGTTTTGTGATGGAGTAGGGGATGGAACCAGTGAAATTGTGGGCTATGTATCGCTATCAGAGCATTGGTTTGAGAAGTCAACGAAGATGAGCTCCACGTTTCTTGACCATTTAATGATTAATACTTAGATCTATTGATGAATTATTGATTGTTGACCTGCTCAATGGTTTTTGAATGTTTTTTAATTTTTTAATCGGTCATCTAGTCAACTAGTTCCGTTTTATCCTAATCTTTGTCTGTAGCAAAAAATCGTTGAATTAGTCAATGACTCATCGGCCCAGTCGGTTGAACTATTGACACGTTTAATAGTTTTTGGTCATTTTTTATTTTGTTAATTTTTATTATCAGAATGGGCCACCCGTTCGAACTGAACAGTCAAACCATTGACCCAAAAATCGGTGGCCAGAACGGTTTCATTTTTAGGTTGTATAAGTCACACGCTTGAATGACATAACACGTATGGTAATGCTTAATGGACCTCACACACTAATTTTTTTGCATGTAATTTTTGTTGCCAGAATGGGTCATTCGTTTTTTTTTTTCATTGGAAACTATCCAGACAAACCATTGAATCGGTTAATGACCCATTGACYTGAGTGGTCGAATTGTCAACCCATTGACCCGTTCAATGGTTTTTGGCTGTCTTTTTATTTTTTCTAATTTTTGTTGTCTGAATGGGTCGTCCATTTGTACCAGGCGGTCGAATCGTTGACCCGAAAACCGGTGGCCAGAGCGGTTCCATTTTTTGGGTCGTATGAGTCACACGCTTGAATGACATAACATGTATGATACTGTTCAATGGACCTCACACACTCAATTTTTTGCCTGTAATTTTTGTTGTCAGAACGGACCGTCCATTCGAACCGAACAGCCGAATAGTCGATCCAAAAACCTATGGGCAAAACGGTTCTGTTTTCGGGTCGTATGAGTCACACACTCAAATGAGTTAACACGTATGATACTACTTAATGAACATCACAAGCTCAATTTTTTGCCTATAATTTTTGTGGTGAGAACATACTATCTGTTTGAACTGGATGATCGAATTGTCAACCTGAAAACCGATGGCCAAAATGGTTCCATAATTTTTTTCTTGTAATTTTTGTTGTTAGAATGGTCCACCCGTTGGAACTAAATGATCAAAGAGTTGGTTGTCAGAACGTTATTAACAACATTTATCAATAATGGTAAGTAATTATACTATTTAATTAAATAATCATTAATGATAGYTTTAATAATATTATTTARTTATTTTTAATATAACARTAATTATTAAATTTATGAATAGGATTTATTAACAATATTCATTAAATTAATAATTACCAAAATTAAATTAAATTAACAGTATTTATTAGTAATAATTAGTAATTATAATATTTTATTAAATAATCAATAACAATACTTTTAATAATATTTTTATTTATTTTGAATATAACAATAAATACTATATTTATTAACAGTATTTATAATTTTAATTTAAAGTAAACTTTAAGTAAATATCTATTTATTAACAACATTTATAATAAAAATAATTATTAATTATGATAACTAATTTATATTTATTAAATTACTGTAATATTCAGTAATTATTAAAATTGGGTAACTAAATTTATTAACAGTATTTTTTAATAACAATATTTATAATAACAGTAATCACTAATTATATATTTATTAAATTACTGTGATAATCAGTAATTACAGTAATCTTATTTATATACATATATATATATATATATTAAATTGGGTTATCAGAAGCTTCAGACGAATAAGCTTTGCAGCCTCTGTTAACGCATTCTTGTCTGCACTCGGCCTCATTCTTAGCTTCAAACTGCGACGACTCTGCTTCCTTTACATTCAATATGTTAAAAGGGGCGAAGTCTTCCTTCCATACCTCGTTATCTGCAGTGGTTCTCGTGCACCCACCGGAATGGTTGCCGGAATCCCAATCTTCCTGCGATTGGGCACGGAACCCAGGCAAGCATTCACATGCCGGCGTATTATTGACGTTGCAAACAGCGTTGGCACCACAAGCTTTGTGGACGTTGCAGTTGTCGTTCGGTAACGACCATAACAATTCCCACGCATGGCTTCTCAGCCTTGTGTTCCTGTAATTGAATTTTATTACGCTTCTATTGACTTGGGATGGGTTAATACTTTTCCTTGTGAGTTGGTCCAACAGATTTCCATTGGAATAATCACTGGCGTCGACACTGTAATTTGATAGCAAGTAGGTCACTAAGAAAGATAATCCATCCGATGATCCACTTCTCCAATAGACGGTTGATCCATTATCATGATGCTCAAATGTGAATGCTCCTGGTGCTGGATCGTACTCATCTGTCCATGATCTTAGCATCTGGTTTGCCTACAGCTTCATTCCTGGGAGGAACGTATTCGATGGGTTGCGTTCATCATAAACGAAGCTGTGCCATATCGGGTTGTGATTCCCATTCTCTCCTCCTCCTCTTCCTCCTGCCGTCAGGATAAGGTTCCCAGAATCCAAGAGAGTAGCGGTGGTGTTAGTGGTTGCAGTTGCAACCTTTGTAGACCAAACTACTTTTCCTTCACCATCTAAAATCTGGAGGTTTCCATCCCCGGCAATGGTAAACACTCCATTCCTATTTGGAATTGGGCGGTCTTTGTTGGCGACCCACACAAGCGTTTGAGGAGCACACCACGATACCAAATCCCCAGGTACCGGTTGTTGGTAGAATTACCAGGAGTGAAAAACCCCAATTCGAATCTGCCTCTGGCAGAAACGAGAGTTAAGAAAAAAAGGTTTAGCAGATTCGGACTCTTGTAGAAGTTTGGGTTTTAAAAACATGGGTTTGTCGCTTCCTTTATTTTGGGCTCTTGGAGGATAGAGTGGCGAACCCTTATTTTGGGCTCTTGGGTTTTTGTCTTGAAATAATGATGGACTGTTGAGAGTTTGGGGTCTGTTTCATTTTTTTGACAAAGAAGATGATGAACAATGTCCAAGGCTAATTTTGACATTTTCAAAAGTATTAAATTGCACATGAGATCACGTGATATAGATAATGGACGGTCCATTAACGGTAGGTACTAGATTGTTGCATTTCATAAGTTTGGGTACTAGATTGTCACGTTTTAAACTTTGGGTACTAAATTGACACACCGCCTAAAGTATAGGGTACCTATGGGGAATTTTCCCTTAATATTAATTAATTTTAACCTTTACAATTTTATTAATTTTTTAATCAATTTTATTAAATCATTTTGTTTTTAATTATTTAGCTATTTTCCCAATTATTTAATCATTCTAGTGTTTAACTAAGCATATGTTAATAATTTAATCATTTTGAAATTTGTAAACACATTTATTAATTTACAATCATTTTTATTACATTTTCAATTTAATTGTTAAACAATGTATGCTTTATTTAATAAATTTTCTATCTTTTAATGAAAAATAAAAATAAAAATCTAATTGTCATCTAATCATCTAATATAATAATGAAATAACATATATTAATTAAATTTTTTTACCTTAATTAACCTAATATAACTTTGCTTAATTTTCTCTTACTTTTTCTTTCTTACTCTCAAGCCAAGAAAAGTTATAAATGGTAATAAATCTGAATGAATAATAATTCGGTCAGGTGTTTCAGTGAAATTTTATTTCTATTTGATTGTCAAACGGGTCAAAATAACCCATTTGCTTCATCTTCTTTGCCCGTGTAATAGTTATTTTAGTATTGATAGGTAAATTTCCAAACAGTTGATGTTGGGCTCAGGCCATGTTTGGGCTATGTAAAGTTTTGGATTAGATTGGTTCAGGCTCGAGTTGGACCCGCCTGAGTTGAACCCTCAGTCCACACTACCGGCCCGAGTTGCACCCTTAGAGTTAAGGAAATTGGACTTCCAAAAAACTTGATTTGGCTTATCCCGCCCATTCCTCTTCCTCTCGTTCAAGCTTGTTGCCTTTTGCATCTCCATTCCTCTTCCAAAATTTCAAGCAAGTGAGAAGAGTGGTTAAGAAGAAGAAGGAGGGAGGAGGAGGAAGAGAGGAGGCCACGGCTGTCGACTCCTCCCTCAAATCTCTCTCTCAACTGTCCTCTTATTTTTAACATTTTTTTGTCATTTTAGTTCTTAAAATATAATTATGATTTTTTATTATTGAACCATGAATTGTTGCCCAGGTTAATTGAGCGGTTTAGTGGTTTAACCATCTGATTGCTGACAGATTAATGGTTTTTGGGAAAATATCCGGGCTAGTGACAAAACTAGCGAATGACCCCATAAATTGTACCTATATATAATTTTGTCAAGATTCAAATTTTATTTGTTATATTTAATTCGAGATTGCTATTTAATTGAAAAAAATAAATCAGATGTCTAGAAAGCCCTTTGGTTTCAAAGAGAACCATTTTATTTTTTATAAATTCGTTTCTCAAACTTTTATTTATTTATCTATTTAATCGTTTTATGTTTTATTTAATAAATTTCTATTAATTAATTAATGAAATAACATTAATAACATAACTATTTAGTTATTCTTACAATGAAATAAAAATTATTAGATTAATTAAGTTTGTTTAATGGGTCCCATGCTTTATATTTAATTGAATATATGTGGATATACATGTGTCTAAACTACAGAATTTTTCTTTTAAGAAAGTTTAGGAGTGGAACTATCCACTTCTTGGATACTAGTTCTCTAGTTCTTGAAACAATAGGATTGCATGTATTTGATGGAGAAGCTTTCTAGTGAATGATCCCGTAATAAAGCATGAGGAAATTTGCTGTTATGTATGAAATTTTACTAATTTTAATGAATATTAGTTGTTATTTATCCATATAAATTATTAATAAATATGTAATTGCTATATATCACTTAT